GCAATATTGAGATGTAAGCTTAGAACTTCTGCCACGGAATGAGATATGCACGATGTTTTAGGCGTCATAAAGCCTTGATTCGTTGTTCGTTAACCTTAATTGCTGAACGAAGGATACCTTCTAAGGTGGCACCATTAATTCTCTTTAAACTTTTTAATGATCACGCTCGTTACACTCGACGCAGTCTTCAATTACGGTAACTTTACCACCGGCAGCATTTTACTAATATCTTGGCACAGTATCGATGTAAACAGGGTCGATTATGCGAGTACGCCGCGAATGCAATCTCCTGCATTCCTTTTCGGTACTTTATATCGTCCGCCTAACGGTAAAAGCTTTTTCACCTCTGACAATTTCTCGCCTTTGGAAATTGCTTCGACATCCGAACCACTTCGCATCTCTCCGTTTCGGTAGTGAACAATTTTCATTGAAAATTGATTTTCATACATTATAGAATCATGAAACGAGCCGTTGTCATCAAGGATAACGCTGGTCCCGATTAATAGCAAAAGGAATTCTTTATTGCTCGTAAAACATACAAGTTAACGATCCTGTTCCTCTCGGTGCCTTTTCTCGGCGACCATAAATCATTTCGAAGGAAAACTGTATTTAATGACGGACGTCGATCGTTGGCGTACTAAATTACGTATTATCAAGCATCGAAGGGTGTTAGCAAAATCGTTTCTCGATCAGTCACCGAGGAAACAATAATTAAGCGCCGTAGTTAAAAGATAATATCGTTAGTTTAACGTTGGTAGTTGTTTTTCATGGATATCTGTTACCCGACTTTTTTCGCTATTTAAATTTTTTCTCTAATAATATTTTCTCTAATTAAAATATGTTACGCATACTTGATAAAAATCGTAGATCTCAGATAACGAATACTTGTGTACGCTTGGTTGATAGATATTACATAATTAAAATAGTTCTGATCTCTTCCTGTGTTATATAATTTGGTAGGAGTCGTTGTCCGGCTAATAATTGACTCGAAGTATGTTAACTAGTAAGAAAAGCGCCGCGAAACGCTCGTTGTACGCAACATAACAAAAGAGAGCATCATTAAACGAAATACCCAATTTGCAACTAATTAGTTGTGCAGTTCTTGCGCCGCAAAAAGTTGCTAGAATAGCAAGTGCAATTTTTAAGATATTCTATATAAAGAGGAATCGATTCTATATAAATGCCGTGCTCACCTCGTTTAAATGATTTATCATTTTTATCAGCGCATTTAGTCGTATTAAAATATGCGAAAATGATGAAAGAGTAAAAAGCATACGATCGTTGAAATGCGAGTATTGAATTTCACTGGGAATCGAGTAAGATTTACGGAGTATTTATTAATCGAGGACAAGAATCTTATCGGGATCATGACCTGGTAGCTCTTGACCTTCTCGTCGAGTTTCTTCAAGGTCTCTTGTATCGTGGTGAGGGTCTTGTCGCTCGACTTCTCCTCCACTTGCGTCTCGTTCTGCGTCCTCAGCTCTTCGAATCTCTTCAGGATCTCCCTGACACTCAGTTTGCTTCCATCCGCATTTTCTTCCGTGATCGTTTCCATTTTCGAAACCTTCCGTTCCCCGTTCACTCGACCGACGATCTGATCGCTATCGTAGAAATCTTGGATCAGTTCGTTCATCTGAATATCCTCTGCGTTTTGATTCTGTCTAGCCGGAGATTGAGCTCGATATTTCGTCTCAATGTTGTCGTTATTATTTCTCAATGGACCAGACGGACTCGAGTTTCTCGAATTTCTTAACAGGCAACCCTCTTCAAGCCTCAATTGTTCGATCGTTGGTTGAGGACGATCGGTATTGCTCGAGTTTGTCGAATTAACCGTTGCTGTTATGGGGTTTAGAAAAGGCTTCTGATCCAGCTTGGACACGTCGATCCGTGGTATATTCTCATACTCGAATTTTTGTTGATTCACACCTTTGGAATCTTTCTTAGTCGATTCTATGATTCTCGAAATCTGCTTAACATTATTCTTGTTCACGTCCAAATGACCAGAGTCTGGAGACGCCTTCTTATCTTCCTGCTTCTTCTTTCTTTTACATTCGTCTTTCGCGAAAAATTTAATGAACCTGTTTCTCTGCTCGCCCTTTGGCCCCTTTTCACGGTTGGAAGCCTTCTCTAAAAACGCCCCGGAGTCGTCCGTTTGTCCGTACTCGTCGCTGCTTAGATCCGACTCCGAGGACTTCACTAAGAGGCTGTCTGGAGAGTTGGTTTTTCGATCTTCGTCGGAGAAATTCTTGTGATCGAACTTCCCGACGAGATTGCTTATACTTTTTCTCCGAGGACCTAGCTTCGAGTCATGATCATCGTAGTGTTTCCTATAATCTTCGTCCACGCGGGAAAACGAGTATTCTGACGATTTCTTGTCGATCTTCGCGTCTCGTCGATAATCCACGTTCTTCCCATTTTCGTTCGTTTCCAGTTTACGCAGAAATTCGGATCTTCTCACGATTCTTTGAACGTTATTGAAGGGTTTAGGTTCGATTTTCTTGGTCTCGTTCTCAGAGATTTCTGAAGGATCGACGAACTGAGAGAGAATCTCTGGCCGATGTTTTGGCTTCTTCCTCAGGGTTGTTGGCAGCTCTGCCCAATTGCTGGACAGTCTTTTAGAGAAGATCCCTTCGGTATCGGAAACCTCTCTCTCCATTTTGGTCAGTTGATGATGGACACTTTGTTCGTTGACTTGGTTGAATACATCTGAATCTGTTTAGTCGACATATGAGTTAACCATCTTCTCTTTTCTTTTTAATAATCACGAATTTGTTCAGGAAGATGGTTCCATGAATGTTTAAGCGTTAAGCTGATTATTAAATACGTGGAATTGGTTCTTGAATGTACCGTGCACTGTCTATCGTTTAAAAATTGAGTTGTTCAAAATTTATAGTAAGCCTAGAGTATGTGTTATGTAAATTGAAGTACTTTGTAAGACGAAGCCTAAACTTGCATTCCACCGCTGTTTAAATTAATTATTCTTTATCATAAGGAAATTTATTATTCTTTTATCATAAGGAAATATACTACTTGTTGGAAATCATTTTGGCTAAAAGGATTTAGGATTCAAAGGTTGATGAATTTTCTTAAGTGACTTAATCTTTCTTTGGTCTTGATGTCACAGAAATAACTGCTGACATAAGCGTCTTTTCTCGTGCCGGTTACAGTGCAATAGAATATCAGACGACACCGCAATTCGAAACATCGTGTTACGAGCAAAGTCAATGAAGGAATACTTTCCAGCTCAGTTTCTGCATAGTACAGGCCATCGAGCACGACGAATGCATAGAAATTACATTTCGTAGAATATAATTGACCTTGATTCCCCGAACCAAAGATCTTTTACGCATGGCGACCGTGAACTTTCTTCGGCCACCACTTGAAAGACCTCTAATACTAATTAACAAGAGAAAAGGAAACCCTGTGAAACAAATACGATATCAAAAATGGAGAAATTCGAGAATAAGATATACATTAAACATCGCTAAGCTTCGGTGATAGCTTTCCTCGTGTGAAATTATTAATAACATCAAAAAAATCACGGCGTATAGCAATTAAATTTCGAATAGAAAGGGGGAAAAGATCACATTCGAGAAATCTACGTAAATACCCGTAAGATAGAACCGAATAAATTATCACGCGGAGTGCCTAAAAAAATTAACCAGACGGTAATAAAAATTTTACCACGATTTCGTCAGTGTTTGGTGTTCTTTATGCGTGTTCTTCCTTCGATAACGAAGCCGAATTTGCTTGAAAAAACCGCAGAATTGCCCTCGTTACGGCACGCAATGCCGAATGTGGATCACGGAAGAAGGACCTTCTTCAGGGCCTCGTGAGAAGATCGGCGAAGAAGCTTGTCGTGAGACCAAAGAACAATGTGCACTTTTCATTGTAATTATTTCGCGCTAACAAACTCTCCTTCGCTCCAACAACGAATGAGAAAGGCTTCTGCTTTCTTGGATACCTAACTTCTCCTACCTATTAAAAAGGGTTGTCTTCGCTTTTCATGAAAACTCGCTTTCCCCATTAGCGGTGGATAAAGTAAATAGAAATTTAGTAAATAATTCGTAAACATATTCATCTTCTAGAATACTGCATCTCTTTAAGTAGATATTACAAGAAGATTCTTAATTTTCTGTTAACTTAAATAATGTACGTTGGAAGCACAGTTGACTACATAAAAATTCAATTTCTATGCTACACGCTACTATGGCCTTGAAATCAGTCGGGATATTTTAAAGAATGTCCACCTGTCCTCTTTATCATCTAAGAATCTCTGTAATGTCGAACCGAGAGGGGAGAGGATGCAGAGATTTAGAACCCAGATTCAAATGGAAGGCTAGTCGGAACTCGATGGTCAAGGAAAAAGTAGGAAACGGAATCCAGTCATTCTTAGTCAGTATGTCACTATACTAATGGAATGAGCATCTTCTGACCTACAAAACGTTTATCGTTTTACTTTAATCCAATCGTGAACGTGCAGATGAAAGAGCATAAATGACGCGATCAAAGTTAATTCATCTTTGCGCTGTAACTTCGTCCTGTAAATCTCTAGAGGATTATTTAAAATTATAATTTTAGCCTTGAATGGTACTTGTCATGTACCTTTATCCGTTTTATCGTTCGTGTTTCAACGTTTCGCGATGGTTTTCGAATCATACATCGAAGACAAGGATATTTGTCTCCTGGAATAATTTATTTGCGTTTTATGGAACCTGTTTTCAAAGGGGTAATCATTTTTTAGAATTAAATTCGAGTATCTCTCGCGTAGCAACTATTTTCGTAGATGATCATCGATGAAAAATGTGCTTTCAAGGATATCGAATTAATGAAGTTTTTTTCTCTTTCGGCAACAGAAGAGAATATTTCTGGATAGTCGTTCCGCAAAAGGATACAGAACAATCGGCGAAGAAACAGCTAATTAGCATTGTGTTGTTCTGCTCTGTTGCATGGCTCTAATTAAATGACAAGCACTATGCTTTTACACAGACCATGTTTCAGCTAACAGGCGTTTGTACAAAAATTATCCTCTCGAAAAGTACTTTTTGATTAAGATATATGATTACTTTGATTAATCGAATATTAATAACAATGATACGATACTATAATACTAATAATACTGATATAATATTTCTTAGATTCTCAAAGATTTAGATCAAGATAATAATATCGTAAGTAAAATTAGTAAGAAATCTAGATTTTTGAATAAATATTTTATTAGAATTGCTGTGTAGTATAATTTTTTCGCAACAGAAATAATTTAATAATGTTCATTAATTTATGTTATTTTTTGGGACGATGTGGTGTTGAAACGAGTTTATGGTTAATCAATGACTATTATTCCCAGTTCGATTGAACATCGATATCTCGGATGGAGGCTAGTTTGGTATGCCGGTAGCGACTACGCAACTATCTACGGAACGCGTAAACTTGCGTATAGGAGGATCGTTAACGATCTCGTATGAGGTTGTTAGGCTTGCGTAAGGAAGATCACGATCACATGCCTATTTTTCTTTTCCCGTGGTCGCTTCTTCATCGAGAAACACCGATAGAAAATAGACAATACAGGCAGTCCTTTGTAATCTCGCATATAGACATCGTCTATACTTGGAGGCTAATTCCAAATGATTTTCGAAATGTCTGCTTGTAACAGAGTTGTTATTAATTCACAAAGATCGAACAGACTGGTTTCGTGGTTAAAAAACTTAGTTGTAATATGAATGAATTTCATTATCAATTTACGAGAACTGAAAAGATGGGTTTCTTCTTTTTTTTTAAACTTCGTTACAAGGTAAGTTGATATTCATCTGCAGGTAGAGTTTTATCTATTCTTCAGAATTATAAAAAATAATTGCGTATGTCTTTCGATAAATTTCCTCGATTTCTTCATCGGACTGGATCCACTTTCGCCGCTTAGCGGTGCAAAATAGAGGATCCCTGTGGAGCGATTAAAGCGAACTTTCGATTCCTTGACGAGTCAAGTATGACAGATCGCGAGCAACTTCAACGAAATATCTTCACTTTTTCATCTCTACATATGATCCTACAACTGTTCCCTTAATTTCCCCTTTTTTGCAGTCATTTCAGCAAAACAGTTTCTCGCAGCGAAATCTCAGTCCAATAAAAACAAGCCTACTTATTAATCTCAGATGAAAATTACACGCTACGAAAATACCGAATGATGGTTCGCAAAAACGGCTCCATTAACAGTGCCACAAAAATGTATTATGATGACCTACTTCGAAACATTTCGAATCATCGATCCGATGGATTTTCGAATCAATTTTGAATGAATCTCGACCTCGCCCAGTTGTGATTATCGCAACTATCGCGTCATCTCTTGTTTTGCCATCGTGGGATCTAGTCAGGTGAACGCGTGGAATGTTTGCGCGAGGTCGTAACGAATATTTTAAGAAAACACAGGGCCCGCCTCATCCCGCGAGCAAATAATTATCGAAGGTGTGCGATGTATTCTCGGGAACAAGCGGAGAATAATTTCTTAATGGGTAGGAAAGGTATGTTGCGGCTGCGAGTCGAGGTAAACAACGATTGCCAGTCGTAATTGAGCCTTGGCGACACGAATACCGAGATTTCGCCATGACACTGGGGCAAGCGAAACCGATTTATTGCGACACGATGGCGATCGAGATCGAGACTGTTATCTTCGCGGTGCTTGCGAGGCCGAAGCTTGGTCTGACGCGTGACATTGCTCGGAAACAGGGTGTAGCCTTCCTTACCCGCATCGCCATCGATAGTCGTTCGTATCGAATGTTGCAGAATTTCCTTATATTTTATTCTTTTTCTGTGTTTTCGTTTATTTTATTTACGATCAAGGAAGATTCGTCGATTATTTTCGTATTTGATTAATTAATTGTACATATTTGCAAGAATATTCTGTGTCAGTTTTATCAGAGAATTCTGAAAATTGAAGGAGTTATTAACGTCATTAATTCCAGCAATACCATTATAAACATTCATACGTTTCAATATTTTCTAAGCTATATTTATACAGTGATAATTTACATTCATTTGATGGAAATTTTTATTCCCATGGAAGATGTCTCCTTCTTACAAACTAAGGAACAGATGTTCTATACGGTGTTTTGGACCGTATTTTTTTATTCGAGTCATGCACTATTAATTATGAGACCACCTGCTGATTTCATGCTACCGTACAGTTATACTATTATACAACCGTGTATATGGAGCCTGATTTTGAGGATGATACACAGTATCGTGATAATTCTCTGTAATCGAATGATTACAGCAAAGAGCTGCATTAAACGTGGCTATCTTTAATGAGTTTCTCGATTTACGAGCGGAGTGCGACTGTATATAACGAACAATGTACTTGTCATTTGCTAAGCAGCGTGAAAATGGGACGAATTTAATATTTTGTGGTAAAATAATAACGAATTCCTTGAAACTGATTAACTTTACAAAAGCAGATAAAAAATATTTAAAAGATTCTCATTTCTACAAAAGCATAACTCTAATCGCTCGAAGAAGGCAAGATACTATTTTTCAGTGAACACTGACATAAAAGAAAGTAATTTTTTACAATTATGAAAGAGGTAGAGGTAATTTGAATATTCAGGAAGCGTCGATATTAATGTACTTTTTCTCTGAAACTTGAAAATTGTCACAACGATTTTAACGTATGCAAGAAAACAAACGGAAGAAGAAACGCGTGTTACGTAAAATACAAGAAGTTGGAATGATTAATGCAAACAAAACTACGCAAATGGAGAAAAAAGTTGCGATGTGCGTTTAAACGGACGTCGTCGGGACAAGAAATGGACTGTGTTGATTTGACAGACTCGATTGGCAAGCGTTTCCTTCTTTCTTTTACCGTCACACTTAACGCGGCACATTCGTAGAATTCTCCTGTTAGTTACGCAACACGTTTCTTCGATACTTTTTCTACTCGGTGTTTTTGTCGAACGAGTGTAATCAGAAATCCAATAGCAGGCGAACCAGCTATGGAACAGACTAACTTCTCCAAAGTTTAATACTCGTTGGTTCCTGATGTAATTAGTGTGAAAGCAATTACTTTGAAATCGTAAATGTCGGTATTACAGGTGCTTCCAACAAATGACAGAGGACAACTGTAAATATCCTCATTATGCCTCAAAGAAAAGACGGCAGTTGGTCTATGAAGACGAGCAAGTGCATCGTCTCGAGTTTGCACAGTAAACTAACCACAAAATATCACCCAATTACTTTCATTATCCTCGTTATCCATTAAGCGAGTAAACACCCACAATGATTTTTCCATCTTCGTACTCTCGTATTAATATCTTTTAATTATTCCACGAAATCTGTTAAACTCGGTAGATTAGTGAAACATGTACAAAATTTGTAGTTCGATATGTTCTTTAATTATTTCTCAACGTCGAGTAATTATATCGTCGATCATCGTATTCCTATGATTTCCTAAAATTCATCGAACTCTGATCTCTTCTGTAATGCTCGTTATTCACCAAGTAAAAAATTATTTAAAAAAATTCGTCGATCTTGTATTCCAACATAAACTTCATCAAGCTTCATTAATTTCATCATAACTTCCACAATTCTCATCGGCTCCTAAACAAATATGACGATCCTTGAAAAATAGTGCGACTTAAAATTTGTCAAAGTGCACGGTACGTTCAAGATAACAAAATAAATCGAAAGAAACGGCGGAAGAAGGGCTCACATGTCACTTTTACCGTTGATTCTCGAAGCTATCTAGGATCGAGTCACTGACACTCACCGGTCACACGGTATCAACGCGATAAGAGTATCCGCGTGCGCGATCGCAAAATTTCTCTCGCCTGAAGGGACGACTAGCGGAAGACGCACGTACGGCGTACACGGAAAGATTACCGTGTGCAGCGTTGCACCAGCGTGCACCGCGCAACGACAGTCGATGAACTGAAGAGCTGTGCGGCTTCCGATAGACAGCGCTGTTCCCTGCTGGCTGCGCTCTGACTAGCCGGCACGTTCGAAACACCGATATCTGGGTCGAGCCTTTCCACACACGGTGTGTACTTGCGTACGTTTTGCGCAGTAATGGGCATTCGACACACGGTTTCGTTTGTGTTTCCAAGTGAATCGCGTGGCGAAAAGATGGAGGGAAGGTGGTGACTTACGCGGGTCTGCTTTTTTCGAGGTGTGAGAGATTCGCGAAAATGACTCGCGTACATGCAAAGAGCGAGATAACAAGAATGCCAATGAACGCATATGGAATTCGGATATGGTCTTTGGGGAAAAGTTTCAATATATGTGGGTGCGATGGGAGAAACATAATATTGGCTCGGTCTTTGTATAACAGCTATCGCAACTGGATGCGGTGAATTTTGGAAAGGATCATAGCAGTGCGATGGAATGCATTTTCGATATATTTATAACACTTTCATCGGAAAGGAGAGCTGATCATTTGAATAGTATATATGAGAAATGTAGAATACGCGGTACCGCCATATCATTGTATACACATTACACGATAGGGGTGTTTGTAAATGATTTTTGTAGTCTTAGAACTAGAAATGTTGAGTTTAAAGATGAAGAATGTCGTAGACTTGTCGCACCCTATCGATGATGACAAAATCAAGGCGTTAATTGAAATATAAAAAATGTGTGCCCACGAGTATTTAATTTGGGTATCTAAAAGTTAGCGCAAATTTTGTATAGGACAACCCTATAGTGTTAAGGAAAGAGGACGTGTGTGTGAGAAAGACGGAAGAAGATGAAGAAGATTCCTTGGTGTATATGGAAAAAAAGGAAAAAATTGTACAAAATTCGTAAAACCAAAAAACACGAATGGAAGGAAGTTTATGGTTTGCGGTTTGGTCCACTTTATGTCGAAGATTCTGCATTCTTCGAGGATTCTTTGTTAGAAATCGTTCGATAAAAGATGGAACGTATTGAAATGTATTCGATCGACTCAGCGACCGTCGAAGTATCTCATTCCCACTACTGATTCCATGCATTGAGAACATCCTATCTCTCTCTCTCTCTCTCTCCTTTCCATCGTTCCCGTTTTTATTTTTCATTACGCACTGACCAGAATGCGCATAATAAAGTAAGGAATGTAGAGTAAAAATCTTTTTCCTTAATTCTCTCGAAAGAACGAACGGATAACCAATAAGTGGTTTAATGAATAGGAAGATCGAGGTGGGTCAGATCGATTGCGTTATTGCCCGTAATTTCGTAATGGAAATGTAATTGTTACCGTTAGGAACTGTTAGGAAATTCTTGGAGAGTCACGAACAAGTTAAGAGATTCCTACCAGGATACGTATGGATATTTGAAACGATGCTCAGCAACCTCTTTATGCACAAAACAGCAACGTTGTCTATATTTTTATAACTAACTTACACACGTGCAGTTTCTGAGATTTATATCATCAGTTTCTTTTCGTCATTATATTTTCAAGATACACTTCGACATTTTTCATTTAGCTATGATTATCGTAAATTGTTTACTGGCCACGAGACTCGCGACGCCTCTGTATCTTCCCTGAATTTAATTTTCCTAATTGGTATGACAGTATGGTGTTGGATATACAGTTTTCTTGTTACGAATGCATAGTGCGTGCACGCGAACTAGTAGGGTATTTAGCAGTCAGTGGAAGAACGAGAAACTTAAAGACCAATTAACATAGGTCAGTGATGTTTATGACATAATAACGAGACTTTCGTTCCTTCGCGTCACAATCCCGGAAAAATTTATCTTTGTCAGTTGCTTCGTATTCTGTATACTCGATGAGCTACGATTTCAATTATTCATCGATTCATGAAGTATAATCTCATTGACCATCAATAAGGAATATCCTATATCGATACACGTTATATTATTAAAAATGAGAATTAGAATATAAGAAGGTTCCACTTAGTTGATGCAGGAATGCCCATTTATTTCGTAACTGGCGAGTGAAATTTTCTAGTCGTCCTGTTTCATTAAACACCATCTGTTTTGCTTCGATTCGAAGCAAAGAGTTATGAAGACGTACTTTCATTAATATTCATTAAGTTTCCTTTATACTAGAATTACTAGAATCACCAATTCATAAGTGTCACCAATTCCAATTCGTAAAAATTTCATAAATTTACAATGGTATATTTTTGGAGATTTGAATAATCTTTGGTAAAAGTATTTAAAATTCATTTCATTTTTGTTTCTCTAGTACAGATTTTCTATTTTAGTCGTCGTTCGTGTTTATTAATTCGATATTTCTAATTTTTATTTGTTAAAGAAGAAACCAGCGATATCTGTTAATATTTTTGTTCCAAAATGCATTCGATGTGAGTACTTCGAAGCGTTGAATTACAGTTCATTGGTAATTTTCGTTCCATCGGATCAAGGAGATGCTTTTAATTTCTATCTTGAAAAGTCAGTTACTTGCAATGTAAAATCTTCGTTTGTGTATAAGACGAAGGGTCGCCATAAGTTTTCACCGGAGACAGCCGCTTAATGACTCTTGCTGTCGGTAATAAGCGAACGTTGAGAGAAGAGGAGAAATCGCAAAGAGGAAATAGGAAGTAAATTAAATCTGGTCCGAGGAAAATTAATTGTTTCGGTGTTTCTTTTTCTACCGGATCGATAAGCGATCAAAGATTGTTTGTACAATATTGTACGTAATTAATAATCGATCAAGACGTTAATTCTATTAAGTAAGATAATTCACGGTTACTTGTTTTTTCGTGCACAAAATAAAGTAATAAACGCGACAAACAATTTCATGTAGAAACCGTGAATAAAATAGAAATCAAAGACGGAAGGGAAAAGTCGGAAGTGATAGTTGGATACCAGGAATGATTGTAATTTCTTCGGTCGATAGATATACATACTCGGTAAAAAAAATTCCTGCTCGGGAAAGTAACTTGCATATCTTTTGATATTTAAATCTACTCTATCTATTGAAATTAATTATTTTTCTATACACTCGATTACAATAATAATAAACTCCTTCGTGTTCTTTCTTCGATATATAAGCGAAAGAATTCCGTCCATTGTAAACAGTCTTTTGTAAGAATACAAATTCGTCAAGAGTATGAAAAGACGAAGCCCATCGCTTTAAATTTTCGATCAGAAAAGAAGCTACACAAAAGATATACGTGATTCATGCGTGTCCGTGTAACAGCAGGCGCACCTGTCGTTAACGGAAACGACCGATTACACTTGGGACCCTGGAAGGGTCCCATAATACGTGAGTCCGGTCGAGAAACATCCTGCTCGTTAAACCGTAGCCCTATCTCCATTTCCAAAAGCCACGATATCCTCTTTTTCGTTCTCAGCATTGTGTTTTGTGAGTTTCGGGTATATATATATCACCTAAGAAATTTTCCTAGAAATTTTAGAATATTTTGGTAAGTATGAAGTCTGATTAGGTCTCCCGAAAATGTATCTCGAGCGTCGATTCTCATCCTTCGCCGGAAGGATCTTTATACGTTTCGAATCTGAAGACACGCGTTCCCACGTTTCTACATACGCGACCTTACAACCTCCATCTTTCTCTTTTTCTATGCTATGAAATCATTGATGATTTAGCAACCACGATGAGACAGGGGATTCGTTAACCATTGTACCCTCCTCTAGGGAGGACTATATAGCGAATTAGCGATAAAATGAATTGCAATTGGCGATTTACTTCATGTCTACAGGCTCTTCAAATAAGAAACACAATTAACAGATCATAGTTGCAGGTCAGCTAGTAAATTATATTTGTTTCATTGAAGCTATTTCTAAGGAATATCCAGAGAAATTATAGACCCTTTTATAAAAGGAGAATTATGAAATTATATACCTAAAAAGGAGTAGTTTCTCGTGGCTTCGTTCAACTTTGATGAAACAGCGATTTTAGTGGCTTCCATTTTAAGGAAACTCGATCCAATTTCCGTTCGACTCATCGTGAAACGTTCTCAACGCTTTCTCGCCTACCGTTCCCCCTGTTCACAATTTTCTAACGATTCGCATTTTTCTTGGACTTTTTTCCCCTGGTGATCTCGCCACGAGACGTTACAATGTGGCGAAAAGTGCGTGATCGAGGCGAAATCTCTTCTCTGAACGCGATCGACCGCTGTAAAAGGCACTCGTCATGACCGGAAAGACTAGTCGACTTAGAAAACTCTCCCCTGTTTCGCGATTCGGAGACACATTTTCCATTTCTAACGTTCGATCTATCGCAACTTCTGTTTCTTAAACGCTGCACGTCTACCTTTTACGAAAATGAAACGCAGCCATCGATCACTTGCGACACTTCTCTCGTCAAGCCTTAGGAAAAAGCCTGACACAGAATGGTAGAAATCTAAAGAAGACAAGTGAAACTGTTCATGAAGATTCGCCTTAAAAAATACAGAGATTCTTTAGCAATGCAACTGTTACGGCTTCTTCGATCTCATACGCGTAAAACACTACATGTTATTAGCTCTCTGAGAAGAGACGTTGCGAGATGCTTAGCTAATGTCTTTTCGTACTTCCGACAAACTTTCCTTTGCTGCATAGATATTCTCTAACATGGAGCCTAGGAAATTTCACCGAAATTATTTCTCGTTAATTTCTTCCTTCGTGCCGTTTCGTCACTTATAGCACGAATTATGGTTTCCATTCAACGAAGGCATTTGCCAGAAATGGTTAGTTTTAATTCTTCAGACTTGTCGAAGAGACAAACAGTTTATATAATTAGAATTCCTACTACTGAGAATATCTGTTGCTCTCTCTCTTCACTCAGTGTATCTAACATTCCTAATAATATTGTAAATTTCATAGTAATAAAATAATTTATATTCAAATGATAAGGCAAGAGATTAAAATGAAAATGTAATGAGCTCTCAAATTTGCTGTGTCTCAAATAGCTTGTACAGGACACGATACACTTTACTACCACTATTGTCGTTGTACCGTACGCTCGACCCTTTTGCACCCTTGCAAAGATGATTCACCGACGACACGTGATGGTTCAGGACACCTTGTAGATCTGGAAGGACGTCGCGAGAGAATTTAGGCCAGACCCCGAGTGTCAGTGGGAGATAAAGATCGTTGCCAGGGTCATTAGCAATTCAAACGGCTTCCGGTCTCCAAGCTGGTATCGTGTACGCGAGAAAGAAGGTGTTGCCTCCGGTAAACACGAGTTGCTTGAACTCTGAATCGCTTGAAAGAAGCCTAAGTAGTTGCGCGCCTGAACGTTACGTGGTTTTAACTCCTTCCAGCTGGGGAATATATCCAACGTAGCTGAGCTGCCACGCATGCAACGATGTGCATCCGATCCGCAAAACTGCCTCGAATAAACGAAAAGAGGAAATTCAAGTTTTCTATGATTCGACACGTTTCTTCGAAATTTCACGTGGCGGCTTAATTGTCGACGTGCACGTCGCGGCGATCCAACGATTCCTTCGATACGCTGCTCTGAGCATTCGCCAGGATAGATAGCCTGGGATCGAAATGTTCGTTTCGACATGGTTCTAACTTGGATTCTATCTTCGTTGTTTGCTAATCAGGAGAGATTCGTACAGAGTACCGCTCTCTGTTCTTGTCTAGTTAGCGGTGCTTACAGTTATGTTTTGGTGATTCTAGTAATTATATCAACTTCCCACTTTTCGTATCAAAGGGAACAATTTATCAACGATTTTCTATTATAGTGGTCAAAAGAAGCTCGGAGCTAAACTATTTTCTAAATCAAGGATTTACTCTTTTAATTCCTTGACATCGAATAATATCTTTGATATCCTTGTGACGTAACTATGGCATGAGAAATACTGGACGTGCCAGAAACGTGTCATGTATTGTCAACGTTTCATTTAATCGAAAGTAGAAACGGGCTCGTCATGATACGATTACTAATACAGATAGAAGAGAGAAAGAGAGAGAAACGACTCAGTTAACAGCTGATTATTACAATTCC